AACGAACACTATCGAAATCGACATGCGTCACCACAATAATGCCAGTTTCATCTGCAGAGAACAACTTCGAGGCATCATTTGACCACTCCACACAATTTATACACTGACCTCGATGACGATCTGCTAACGTTATTTGTTCCATCTAAAATATATTCATTTTAGACCAACACATTTTTCCACACAGCAGCAAGAAAATGGTATACTTCAACTGCACTGACAAGTTTTAGGATTTTCAGTGACAATTTTTAGCGAAACGTCTCAAGTCAAGAGGCTCTCAGCAAGCACTTAATATAAGTAAGCGGATCAATCAGTCACTCAACAATAAGACTTCACTAACCTTTCGCTTTGAAGATGGCTTGCTACCAGGGAATCGAATCAAGACAATTGATCCAGATTTGTGTCCAGCTACCATCATACTGTTAGTGTCACCAGAAAATATTTTTAGACATGTTACCACCTCGTCATAATTAGTTCTGAGTCTGGAAATTGCATCATTTTATAAATATCACATAGGATAACAATACTATCGCAATATTTCTCATGCTACGACCGAAGCACACACTATAAACTTGAAACGTTAGAAGCAGAATCCTGCTAGTACAGCCGAGAACAACTTGATAAATCTATTATACGTTCGAAAAAACAGAAAATTCTGAAGCAATGGACTATTTGTGAGTTCAAAATCAGATCGAAGAAAACCAACGGAGTAACAGGGCGATTAATGCGACGATTGAAGAAGAAGAGCGCACCGCAATCACTTCCGAACGCAAAATACTCATCACCAATATCCATACACGTTAAACCAACCACCGTGGTACCAAAATAAAATGTTTCAGGCACCTAAACAACACTTCGAATGACCAATAAAATAATTTTGACGCACCAGTGTAACTCTTCAAAGTAGTCATTCCTATTCATTACATGTTAAAANCAAATTTCTCTATCTTTCATATCAAAAAGCAAATTCAATTTTGCTACTTCTCTTCGCATTCTTCGACAAATATTATAATTTATTAAAAACAATACTAACAAGAAATATATGTTTTGTTAAGGTAGGTATGACGGAATTTATGTTGAAAGCTGATGGGATTACGTATAATCCAACTGCAGGTATGATTAAATCAATTAATAAAATGATTGTGATTATGATTATTATGATTATGACTGTTAATTTAATTATTACTTCAATTTAATCATAATGATTAAACCAATTTAATCAATTGATTTAATTTAAATTTAATTTAATCACTGATTTAATTATATCTAATCCAAATCAATTGCCATTAAAAGTGGAACGATTTAAAATTGATACGCTGCAATGGTGAGGTAACAGTAATGAAAAAACGGCAACGAATGTAAAAGTGGATGATTATGAACCTGCTGAAGTAAAGCTTTACACTGGTCCACATTCGCGAATATCGACGAAACGTCCACTGAAATCGACTGTTGGCTTGTCGACTGTTGAACTTCTTCGACGATTTCATCCATCACTACATCTATCCTCAAATAAGAAATTACGTTCAATCAAATAAAACTCCTGATTACATAACATGAAAATTAAAGTTTGCTTCATAAAACACAGTGAAATAAAAGTTGAAAATGTCTCCTGATTAAAAGTAGCCTTACCGTTCAGTTTGTGACATCACTCTCAAAACGTGATTCAGTACGCGAAATTTCTTGGTTATTAGTAAACGTTATGGACACTGAATCCGTCTTCTACACTGCAAGAAACAGGTGATTACACAACTTCCAAAATAGCATCTTTAAGATTGCTGCAAGATAAGCAGGGAACAACCATTAGAGCAAGTGAGAGACTAGAACGACA